ATTAAATTATAATTCATGTATGTTTGGATTAAGTAATATTATTTTCTGAATAGAGATTAAATTCTAACCTCCCTCTGTTATAGCCCTCAAAAATATACTCATCAGGCAGCATAAGGTTGTTTTTTAAAAATGTTCCCTATTGTAATTAGTAGCTGTTCTATCAATATTAAATTAACACTTGAAATGAATGTTCTGTTTCATTTCAAATTTTTAACTTAAGTGATCTTTTGCATGGATTTTTTAAGACTGCAATAAAAATAGCAAGACACAATAACCCTACTTAAAGTAGAATTTGTCATTAACATTTTAAAGAATTTGCAAAATCTTCTATACTATGGTTTCTAACATGAGATTTTCAGAAATATGTGGTTCTTACAGTAAAGATATGATTAAATGGGCCTTTCCTGAAACTACTTAAATCCTTGGTAGGAAATTTATGGCGCTCTTCAGTTATTTTTTTAAACAAGATATTAACAAAGAATCCATTCCATCTATAGATTAACTCTTTTATGGTTAATCAAATTCTTATGAGTTAAAGGGAGCTTTGAATACTATTAAAAGAGAAATTAATGTCAGAAGTTACCAGTTGGGAATGATAACTATCAGCGGTGGTTTTTATAGTATTTACCCTTGATCTGCATCTTCATACTAAATTTTTTTAAAAATGATGGATTTACTATGTTGGATAAAAAGTTGACCTTGAAACAGAATGCAGTAGAAAAAAATTACAGAAGAAAACTTTCAGTTCTTTTTCCTGATCCCACCTTCCTCTTGTAACCCCAGACTCAAATCACTTTCTTTTATGGTCCTCACAGATTTGCATATAAAAATATACAGATTACAAAATTGTATTCTATACTGTTCTGAATCTAGATATACTTTTAGTACAAAATACTGTTTTATTTGAATTCCACGTAAGTTCAGAAAGAGCCAGATATTGTCCTTTTAGGGGGGAAAAACTACCAAGCAAATCCATAAAGATCTTCAGTTTTTAATTAGCTATATCTTTGTTAAAATTCTAATATGCCATAAAGAAGAATTGGTTAGATTGATCTAATATGCCTTAAAGAAGAATTGGTTAGATTGATTAATTAATGTTGTTATAGAAAACCATATTATTTTATTCCAGAATAATTACCATCCTCTGGTTTCTTTTAGCTGCTTAGTAGATATATGTGAAACAAATATTGTAAAGCAGGCAGGAACCTATCTTTTAAAAACATACTTCAACTTTTACACATAAAAAGCTAAGCTTTCAGAGTTTGCCCAGCTCTTAACTTGTCTGATCTCAGAAAATCAAAACCAGTTTCAGTTTCAACCTGCTAAGGCTAGAAGATGAGATGGGAGACCACCAGCGAATCACTGGATTGTAAGTTAGCCTATGAAGGAAATGGGAAGCCATTTCTATTGCCAAGAAAACTGCATAGCTATGTCCATGAAGTCACAAGGAGTTAAAACTAGGGAGCCCTACATGGCAGGCCAGGGTCCTATTAACAATGCTTTGCATAGACTCAACAGCACAAATCAGAATGCAGTTTTGAGTATGCTTAATAGATTTTACAGTATATCTTAACTAAATCTTTTTTGGCATGTTTCATAACAATAATTATAAAAGCAATTATAAAAATACAAAGTTATCAGACATGGTCCCATCTACTTAAAAATGCCCAAATATTTTTATGCATCTTAATTTCTTAACAACCTGTTTCATTCAAGAACTGATGCAAGATATAATACGGATACTATCTGATAAAATTTGGAGAATATATAACTATAGTATAACAAACAGCATAAACGGAACACAAGACTATTAATAATACAAAATCATTCAGTGTAGTTTGCAATTTTCAGCATTAATTGCAGAATTTAAGCAACTATCCATTATCTCACAAATCATATTTAACATTGACATCATTTTTTTGAATGATTTAATTCAATCATTATGGTATTAGTAGTTTTTATTTTCTATTATATATTATATAAATATAATTGTACTTGGTTATTATTTATACTCTATAATATAATAAAATAGGGTTTTTTAAAAAATGAATGCAGGATAAGTACAGTAGTGCAGTTATTTAAGCCACTGTACAAGCATGTACTCTGGACATGCTATCAATTTTTGGCCAAAAAAGAAAACAGTAATAAAGAAAGCTATTTGAACCAATAATATTTTACTCACTTAAAGTATTTTAACATAATGGATTTTATTTTTACTTTGCAAAATGGATTGGGAGGAAAATTCAGAAATGGTTGCTAGTAAGGTAATGTAAATGTAAAAAATACATGCCAGTAATCTCTTGAGCTTTATAAGATAAGTAGTTTAGTGGATAAAGGGAATACAGTAGATATAATCTTCAGTGTAATCAAATTTAGCAGTGCTTTTGACACAGTTCCACATGACATTCTCATAAATAAACTAGTAAAATTTGATTGTGAATGCTTTAAAGGATAGCGTTTTGGATAGAAATGAACTTAATTGTTTAGAAAACTGGTCTATAAGCTACACAATTAATTCCAGCAAAGATCAAAGAGAGATCTAGAATAAAATACCGGTCATAAAATATGAGATAACTGAATAGCTGTGATGGGAAAGCCATGCTTGATTATAAACAGCATTGTTCATCAATGTAAAACGGCTGGGGGCGGGGGAAGCAAACACCACTGCCCACTCCCTCCATTAATCAGCAAATGTTTGATAGAAGTATGATAGAAGTATAAAATGGAAAGAAATAATAGCTATAGTTCATATCTTCAATTTACAGTTCATGAACAACAATTTACAAGATTTTTGTTTTTATATTCTTAAAGAAAAATGTAAATAAATTGTAGGCCAGTCAGAGAAAAGTTAACTAAGGCACGGCATTTAAAAAGATAAATCAACTTAGTTACATGGCGTATTCCAATACTTTGATAGGAATAATTAGAAATTTAAAATTGTCAAGTAGTTTGTAGATGTAGCTGTGTTTTTAAAAGAAGGAGCAGCCATTTTGGAGCTGATGGCTATGTCTTTGTGGACTGTGCTAGGGACTGCCTAAGAAAAGCTGTGTGGTGGGATAAAAACTACTTTAATCTGAACTTGATTTGAATGTGTTTTAATTAAATTAATATAGCTATTTCCCATGGGGGAAATGGTAAGGCATTTTTTGCCTCATATTCTATAGTGCTAGTACTAATATCACTAATGAAGATGAATGGTGGCAGAGGTAGAATAACAAAGGAAGCTACTTTTTCCACATAGCATATTTTTAATACAAACTCAATCCACTTGTTATTTTAAAACATTATGCAAGTGCCTATTACTTATGTTGGCGATATGCCGCTATTATCTTTGGGATGAATACCAACAATCCTTTGGTACCATTGCTGGGGAGCAACAATAGGCAATATCTACGTTATCTGTAATTTGGCATCTGGTCTGGGAAATAATGACCATTCATATTTGATTACCCATATAGGCTAAATGTGACCCATTTATGAAAATGATTTAAAAATACTAGTGCACAGTGAATCTGTGTGAATAGGAGATCCAAACATGTTACACTATTTTGCACCAATTGTATATGGTTATCAGAGTTCTTTTTAAAACCCTTACATTAACTTTTTAAAGATTTAAACAATTTGGGGATATATAGGAAACTGTTTTCTCTTGTGTTCGTTTCCTTTTAAAGTTTTAAACGGGATATACAGAAGACTGCCTTCAATTGTATGATCCTTCTGTAAAGATCAACTATAGAGGCCCTTTTTGAGTGCCAGTCAAGGGCCTTCTTATTGGTGTTCTCCTGGATGTGAGACTGTTTTCTTTGGCACTATGAAAGAGCATTTTGTACAAGCTTTCAAATATCCTTGAAAATCCATTTGTTCCATCTGCCTTTCTCTAAGAGGGTTTTTATAACACTAATTCCTGAGTCATGGTGTTTCCTTATTATACTAGATTCTTACATTTTTATTCATTCATTATATCTCAACTGGATTCATCTTTTGTTGGATGCTGCTAGTTATTTATGTGTCCCAAAAGGAAATCTATAAAGATTTTAGATAAATATTTATGTTATACTATAAACGATGAAGAACTTCTTATAACTTGAGAACTGCATATTAATCAACCAAGTAAAAGCTAATATTTATCTGGTTGCTTTAATGAGAAATATATTGATTTCTAGCAAATAATTACAATGATTACTTTGAAAGGTTAACTTAAAAAACAAATACAGAATTGACGATAAATATGTCAAATGCGTAGAATAACATATGACATTGTCCTAAATGCCCTTGTTAGAACCATCCAAATGATCATCAATATTCCAGTTTTATTTTTATGTTACAAAATATTTTCAATACCTCTTGAAACTCACTGAACATTCATTGGAAAATTTATTTTATTCTGTCATTAGGATTCTGGGGCAGTGAAGCTTTTGATGCACTGTTAAAACAGAATTTACTGCCTATACAAGTTTCCAAAGCTTCCAAAGACTTTTCAGATCTTGCTCTTTGTATACAGTTCATTAACATTCCTTCATCACTTGTGGTGATAAAAAAGCGTCATTACTAACCTTCTCATGGAAGAATCCCTGAAATCTTCCTATATAAATTAAAATTAAAACATTATATATTGTCTCAAAACACATTGCTTATGATTATTTATTTATTTATTTATTTGATTTGTCAGTCACTTACAAAATAATAGATATAAGTATAAACATGAGTAAGAATACAGAAAATAAGTACGATTAAATGGGGACAATAGGACAAGGACAGGAGGCACGATGGTACACTTATGCATGTCCCTTATGATTATGATTATTATTTATTAATTTGTATGTCACCTACCTCACCAGATTAGATACTGTGCAGATAAAATAGATAAGATCTAAAAAAGTTTTGTGAAATTTTGGAAATTTGGAAATTTTGTAATTTACTTTCATTAACTTTCTACTAATAAGACGAATCCTATAGTTCCTCAATGCAATTTCAGTTGTTTCCAAATAATTGTTTTGCAGGAGAAGATAGAACAGGATGGACCATCAGTGATAAAGACTTTCAGGTACAATATTGTGTTTTGTCTATTTTGTATTAATGTCTCTTCATTACAAAAAAATAAATCATAAACACTTCTGGGGATCTCGTGTGTTCTCTAAAACCTTATAGAACAGGTGTCCTCAATCCTTAGGACACTACTGAGCCGTGAACTGTTTGAACCCAGGTTGCCTGAAGCAGCGGATGACCCCACCCCTGCACATCCTCTCTTAGGCAAGCAGAAGGCAAGGGCGTGCATGAATGTGTTCCATTTTGTGAGCAGCAGGTGCGCATGCCCACCATTCTCACAAATGGAGCTGTGTGCACACACATGTTTGCCTGCCGCCCATGTGAAAGCATCTCCTTTCCCCTCCCCCCACTCCAGTCCCAAAATGGTTGGGAAACTCTGTTATAGAAGATAAATAATTGTGTTAATTAGAGCTTTACGTAAGGTTTTATTCCTATATGTTCATTTAAATAAAATTGTGCTATACATAGAGGATTCATTTCACCTAGCTGCTCTATATTATCTCTAAACTGTTTTCTGTCCAAGCTGAAACTTCCAAACAGGCTTCCATACATTAGAGCTACATAACATGCTCTATAATAGTACCATTCTTGGATTATTAAGATATGTATCCTATCCAGCATCATAATTGAGCAATTAAATTGAATGTGACCACTTGTTACTTATTACAAGCAGTTAAACTACTTAAAATCCATCTAACCACAATGCCCCTGTCTCCTCAAAATTCATCTTGGGTTTATTTAAACATCTATGCCTCTGTTCTTTCCAGGACTTACATAGCATTGCAATCAGCACAGTGCTGACACCATGTCACAGATCTCTAGATTATAATTTGTGATGGTTTGTTATAAGTGTTACACATCAGAAGGAAGCAAATCCTGGGGGATCCTACAATCCAGATATTATGAAGTCAAGTAGAATTAGCAGAATGCTGTTGCCTGTTAGTGGTCAGTAAGAATGTTATTTTAATATAGCAATTCCAATGTGCAAGTCACAAAATCATTCCAGAAAAATCACAGTGGTCAGTGTTGTTAAGCATCACTGAGAAAATCATAGTTCATTTCTGTAACATCTCTCTCTCTCTCTCTCCCTCTCCCTCTCCCTCTCCCTCTCCCTCTCCCTCTCCCTCTCCCCCACTCTCCCCTCTTTCTCCTCCCTCCCTCCCTCACACACACAACCACACACACCTGAGAAAGGGAGACAAGGAAAACAACTTAATGCCTCCAGTAACAAGGCATTAACTGCTTCCTGAACATTCTGTTTCTGTTGCTAAACAAGATAGTTGATAAGTGAGATTGGCCCCATTTTATGTTCTTTTCTGCCATATTTGTTAAGTGAATCACTGCACTTCTTAAGTTAGCAACGTGGTTGCCAAGTGAATCTGGCTTCCCCATTGACTTTGCTTGTCAGAAGGTCACAAAAGCTGATCACATGACCCCAGGGCACTGCAACCGTCATAAATATGAGTCAGTTGCCAAGTGTCAGAAATTTGGGGATGCGGCAATGGTCATAAGTATGAAAAAAGGCATAAATCACTTTTTTCAATGCCATTGTAACTTCGAACAGTTATTAAATGAACTGTTGTAAGTTGAGGAATCTTTCTACGAATTCTTACTAAACATAACAGCATCAAACATCATCTTGACCTTGGAAACTGGTCTTTCATTTCTGTGGCATAAAGTCTGAAGTGTTTGTGAATGAGATGGTCCTCAAAGTCTACTCGCCCCTCAAGAAAATTCTGCTGGGCAATTGAGGAGTCCAAGCATTGAAGCAGGCAGTTTATAACATAAATGTCATAGCAAATGCAGTGCAATGATGGAAAATAAATATATTTGCTGCTAACAAATGCTTCTCTAATGTATGTGTTGTTGATTTACTATGAGATTTATGCTGCCTGACCTTGTCATAAATTGACTTGTTTCTGTGCTTGGAATTCTCAGAAAAGATACTTTCTGAATTTCTTGTGGTCAGAGAAGGGAGTTCAAAAGTGATATTGTAATGTCTTTTTAAGAGACTTCTGCTATTTATTCCTTAGCAAAAACTAGAGCTTTGACAGAATGGTCAGCCCTTTCATCTGGTACGTTCTCCAGAACATTGAGGAATTATTTGGCTGTAGTCACTCCTGAGGATATTCTCAACTGATCTTTCATTCCTGCATAGAGGGACTGCTATAGAGATTCCTGTTTTCTTCAGGAATTGATCCATCCCTAGCCTCCAAAGTTAGTTCTCCAATGATTGGTCCTGATCCCATTCATTTATTCAAATTTCTAAACTGCTTCCCAGACAATTAGGTCTCAACACTTATTAAAATATAATGACAAAGCAGAAAATGTAAGAAGTGTGAAATATATTAATTAAAAGGAGCAATAGAGTCAAATTAAAACAAAACCATCAAATGGTATTCATGAATTTCAGGACATAAAACCTACATTGATAGGCTCCACTACAGAGAGCACCAAATCACAAGCACCTGTAAGATGATTCATGGCCAGTCTTGGCAAAGGTATTCATGAGTATGTCTGAGAACACTCCTTCAAGTTAAAGTGGAACTACCATACTAAACTCCCAACTCATGGAAATGGTCCAGAACACCTTGGCAGATGATATAAAATATCTCAGAAAGATCAAGCCGAATCAATGAAGTTGGCTTCCCTTTGCCTGTTACAGAAAGTAATCTATCAGCCGTTTGCTGATTCTATTCCCAGATTAAGGTCTGAATACAGATTGAAAGAATAATGTCTACACAAGAAGTCAGTACATTACTAATGTTTTATACCTGTTGCAAAGTCTGAGACATCTGCCGCCATTTCTAATCAATTTGGACAAGCCAGGCAAGCCAACCAAGCTGCATTATACTGTAAAGGTAAGCGGTGCAAAATCTGCTTAACCCCCATCCCCCACAAAATAAAATAATTAGATAAAATAAAATAAGGAACTCTTGCAAACTGTGACTTCTGTATTCTTTCCAACCACTTAACTATCAACTCTCTTCTGAGTCATACGACCAGGAGGGAGGAGCTTAAAAATAAAGCAGTTGGCAGCATACACAACTACTACTCCCATAGGGATTCAGTGGGGGATTTTGTTGTCTTTTTCCCACTCTCTCCTTAGCTCCAGCAGATCCTGTCCATATCCAAACTCTTTTATTTTGCTAGTTTCTCCTAGAACATTATATTTAGTCTAGCCTATCTTCACAGAATTATCATGCAGACAGACAGGAACCCAATTCCTGTTACATAATTTCTCTCTCACTGTTCATGGTAAAAGGCCAGTGTGAACTGGACTGTAACCATAAGGTTGGATTCTAGTATTCATCACTTTAGGGAACCAGGCTGAAGTTGAATTTTTCAATCTCCTTTTTTCCTTGTCAGCTGTGTTCCTTAAAAAAAAATCACTCCATCGATGATCAAGGAAGTAGTCTACATAATAGCATGAGTAGCTATTAACAGATTTATTGTTTTCCTTAATCACCACATAAAGATTAGAAAAAATACTTTCATATAAGAATTCAAACAGTGGCATGGGTTGTGGCAATGTAAGCTGAGAGAGGTGGGAAGAAGGCAGCAAAGGTGATGGAGGAATGTTCTGCTTCATTACAGGTGAATTTTCTTGCAGATTTCTCACACACACACACACACACACACACACACACACACACACACACACAC